TTTTCTTTCTAGGTCAGTTTCTTCTTTTGGGGGTGTGGAAGTCGTCTCTATGTGACCTGATGTCATCCGTGACATCCTAAATGCTTCTCGATTTTGCAATAGTGGTGGGGTAGTCCACGTGACTTATTTTTACGTCTGATCATTACTCTTCTGATTTTACTAGGTACATTTTTCTATATTTTTTCCGCTATGTGTTGTGTTGGTCTGTGGCCGGGGTGTCTGACCATGTGTGTTACGCTTCTGCATTATGTCGTTGTTTCTTCTCGAGCTGTGCACAAGTGGCTTTTCAACTTCTGTCAGTGGTACTGCCATGACGGTGCATCTCTCATTATGATAATGGCTTTCTGGCTTTATATCTCTTTATGGGTTATATATTTGGGGTTTACAGAGTGTTTTCACGGCCTGTGCTCTTCAGACACTGTCACTTTTGTTTTGTACTTTTGGTGGGGCGTAACTATTTTTCCCATTTTTCTTTGTCTCCTGTTTTTGTTTGCAGGAAAGATAGACCAAGGTGTGCTGGAACAGTTTAATGGCTTGACCTTAACGCTTGCTGAGGAATAGCCAATTCAACTTTCGGAAAAGGATACTGCTAGGGGCGTCCAGGCTTGTAATGATAGTCTTTTTGCTAAGGTTTGGACTTCTAAATCTATTACTCTTGCAGGGGCAAAATTCACGTTTGGCAAACTTTTTTCTAAGCTTTGGCCAAAGGATAAAGCAAACTCCAGCATGTCCCAGCAGTTTCAAGTGTTTAAGGTGGCGAGGAATTTATTTCAATTAATCATCCCTAATGCTGGTGTCCGACAGAATGTTATTCACGGTTGTCCCTGGCTCTTTGATGGTCACCTTGTGGTTATCAAAGTTTGGGAGGAGGGACTCTTAAATTCTGACCTTTCCTTCCAGGTGTCCCCTTTTTGGATCCAAGTTTCTGATGTCAAGGCGAATTTGTTATCTAAAAATGTGGGCCAGCGGATTGCAAATTCGTTGGGCCACTACTTAAAAGTTGAGTTACGAAACAAAAATAATACTGATGGTACGGATAAAGTGCTTGCGGACACTCAGGTTTTGCGCATTAAAGTGGGGTTAGATGTCTTACAGCCCCTTCGTCACCATGTTGTTCTCACTAGTCCAACTGGTATGGAATCTTACGCTTAAGTACGGTACGAAAAACTTCCATCTTTCTGCTTTTCTGTGTGGCATTATTGGCCATCATTGGAAAGTTTGCACTATGGAACGGAGTTCCTTATTGTTGGATTTTAAGGAGTATGGTGGTTGGCTGGGGGTTGAAGGGTTTATTGGCCGAGATCTTTGGCAACCGGAGAAAGAAGTGGGTAAGGGTAGGGGAGATAATCTCACTAAAAAATGGCTTTATGTGGATGATAATGAATTTGATGGAGCGGAGGATTTGGTTCAACCCTTTTCTTCTTCTCTGGCTTGTCATTTTTTGGATTGGCCTAGTGAATCTCGTGGGATTTATGGGAGACCTTTGGGTCGTCCCTCCTTTAACCAGTCGCTTAATTTGCAACATGCAGTGGTTGCCTTGTCCAGTGTGGGTGATCCACATCGGTTTGTAGGCGGCGACGTCATGGGGAGGGGTCTACAGGGGATTTTGATCTTCCTATTTTGCTAACTATGGATAGCCAAGGGAAAGGTGTGGTGGTAGATTTTACTTTTGGTGGGGACCATCTTTTTGTTCCTGACGTGGGTCTGGTTAGGGGTTCTTCTTCTCAAAGTCATGATGCATCCATGCATGTAGATGATAAAGTCAATTATGATCCCGTTACGTCCCCCATTAAGGGTCGAATTTTACCTTCGGAACGGTGGGATCAAATGGCAAAAGGATAAAAGAAAGGAAAAGCGAAGTTAGCTCGAGGATTCAGGACTCAATCTGACTTATCCGCTACTTCAAATAGTTAGAGATGTACTCTGGTTAGGAGGGGCCGCAAACGTCGAAATATAGTCTCAGGTGGCCTGGCTAAGGCTCAAATTCAGGGGGATAAGCGGCTAAAGGGTGGTACAAGTGGTGGGGTGAGTCAGCTGGCTTCTTTGAGCCCGCCAAGTAGTCTGGCTGGTGTCAATTCTGTCTCATATGGGGGGATAGGGATGCACGTGAATGAATCTGTTACCTTTGATTCCTCAATCCTTTGCTACAAAAATTGCTATGTTGGTTGGTGCAAGGGCTTCTACTCCTACTGAAACTGTTTAAGCTAGGGTTCTCATGACCGTGGTCATATCTTAGCTTAGTGTTTAGTTTCTTTGGAGTTTTTGTTCTTGCTGTGTATGTGGTTCTTGTTAATTGTTGTTTGCTTCCTGGTTGTTTGTTGTTGATCTTGTAATGGCCGGTTGGCTCTTTGTTTGACAGGACAAATAAAAAGAAAAAACCCCAACCCAAGGCTACATATACAATTTTTTATTTTGGATAATTTCACTTACCTCCCCTGAGGTTAGGCCTAATTACAGGCGGTACCCCTAACGTTTGAAATATTACACCGACCTCCTTTCAATGTGACCGACGTTAGATTCCGATAAAAATTCATGTGAAAGTACTAATATACCCTCTATTATTATATTAATATAAAATATTATCAAATTATTTTAACAAATGACCATATGTACCCCTGAGCTTAGATTTTTTTTTTTTTTTCTTCGTAGAAAAAGAAACCAAACAACGAACAAAGCATAGAAAGAAACCAAACAAGAACAAAGCACAGAAAAAAAAAAAAAAAAAAAAAACCAGCCACTGGATCTCTCCTCTCTCTTTCTCTTTTTTTTCCAACTACTCTGGCAAAGAACAGGTGGTCCAAGCTGCTGGCCCTCTCTTCGCCATCCTCGGTTTCCTCTTCTTCCCCTTCACCTGGTTCGCACCGGGAGGCCCTCATCACCGCCGAGTTCGCCACCGCCTACCCCAACAACGACGGCTTCATCCTTTGGGCCTACCGTGCCTTTGTACCCTACGTCGGCTATCATGACGACCTGGAAATTTCTTTCCGTCTTTCCTCGCCGTGTCCCCATCATCTGCATCGACTACTGTGAGAAATCTTCCCCGTCTTCAGTGACCCAAGTAGAGACCCAAATCGCGAGTTTTAATTTAGTAGAATAAAATCCTAACCCAAATCATTTGCCATGTAAGCTTCGTCAGCGCTGTTTCAATTTGGGGGTTCATCGCGTTCTTTTTTTCGTGGATGGTTGTGCTTGTTGGTATACCACAGTCGCCAAGTGACTGTTATGGCGTCGCCCTTTGACTTTTTTGGTGGTTAGTTGTTGGTCGAGGCTTTGCCATTTGCCGTTTGTTTATTGGTCTCGCTTCACCGTTGTCGTGTTGTCGCTATGCTGCCTGGTCTCATCGTTGTGTATCACCGGTGGCTTGAACGATTGGGGCTTTCAGCACTGCCGATAGTTAAATCATCCACCCATACAATTCATTGTATTGTATCGTTTCTTCACATTAGCTATGGCCTTGTGGGTTTATTTGTTTCCTATTTTTTTTCTAGAAACTCCTATATATTGCCTTCCCTTTGACAAAATGTTTAATATGGTAATTACCAAAAAAAATAAAAAGTTTAATATTGTTTTCTTGAAATTCATTGTTTAAATTTTGTTGTTTGTTAATAAATAGAAAAACATATGATATTAGAGAGACCATTGTATAGAATTTTAGAGAGAAATTAAAGTTCAGAGAGACTCATACAGAGGAGAGAGGAGATGATATAGTATGTGTGTGTGTGTGTATATATATATATATAGATATAGAAGGTATTTTTGTCTTTATATTGAGGGTATTAAAGAATTTTAAATCAAGAGTGAGGGTGTAAATGTCTTTGCAACTTTTTTAAGGGCAAATGTGGTATTTCACACTGAGAAGAGGCTAACATCATCAAAAGACGGCGTTGACTACTAACGGGAGGGGCAGATTGTTATGACGGAGCTAACTTGGAGGGAGGGAGGTGTAATATTTGAAACATTAGGAGTACCACCTGTAATTAGGCCTAACTTCAGGGGAATTAAATGAAATTATCTCTTCTTTTTTTTTTTTCCTAGGCTACATATACAATCAACTAGCCGTTATTAGTTGAAATCAAATTGCAATTAGGTTTGCAGAACAATACGGTAGTCCAGCAGCCATCAACCATGGAGGCAAAGCCTCAAATCCTGGCGTCTCGGAGGATGTCGGAGGCAAGAAGCTGGCAAGTCCCAATTGTGAATGATACTTTCTGACTTGGACTGCTTAATACAACGCTTCTTGAAAGTAAGCAATACTTTAGACTTAACAAAGTATCTTATAGGAATTAATCTTTTCGTGATAATTTCTTATCAGGAACTTTTCTAAATACAATGCAGTCCTGACAATCTCATATTATTGATTCATAAGTTGAGCTTCCTTGCCATACTTTATTATGCTCCAAAATAAGTTGAAGGCTTGAAGCACACTCAATAGAGATTAATTAAAAATATACGGAGTAATATATTATATAAAAAAATATAACTCATGTAACATTATTTATTTTGAAAATGCAATATCATTAGTTCAAGAATCAAACATTTGAAGTATTGAATCCACAATTTTAAAAAAGTAATAATTCGTCTTATTAATAAAATGTACAGTGACATCCTATAGTTTTTTCGGAAGTTAGTAACATCCTATGGTCGTAAGTTTAATAACATACTGTCGCTTGCACAATTTCCCCAAAACGGAAATCTGTGGGCCACCTAAATCTTCATGTAGGTCACTTTTTTGGTCACTCTCTTTCCTAAAAAGGACCGACTTTCTCGCTTTTATCTGTTTGTACCCTACATTTTCTGAATTCTATCCTCCCTATCCTCCGCCACGTCATCCAACCCCTACCCTTTATCATACCACACTCCTCCCCCGACACTCTTCCCCCATCGTCCATCCCCCTCTTTCTCTCTCTAAAATCGGAATCTCTCTCTCTCATATATACACGCACACATAACACACACATGTAACGCTCAGGGACACTACCATCTGGTGAGAACGCTACGATATGGACCTAAGCGGTGCAGCCTCCCGATTCCGCATCGAGAAGACGACGTCGCACGATCGATTTCTCGGCGTTTTCACTCACTCCCGATTGGTAACTGACGTCTCCGGCTCCGGCGAAGAGCTTAACGAGGATGACATATTCTGGAACGGTGACTTGGCCGACAACAACCATTTCTCAACCGTTCCCTCCACGTCCGCCGATCGGAACCACCACAACCACGCCAAGGGTTACAGTCGAGCGGAGAATTTTGGTATTCTAGCCGCATTGCCGGTGTCGGAATCGGATCAGAGCCTCCAAACGCGCTCGGTGTTTAACCACAAGGCTTCGGTTTCTTCTTCCTCCTCATCGTCCACTTCCTCGTCACGAATGATTCCTACAATGCCGAAGAAGCCTCCTCTCGACCGGCAAAGTTCGGTGAAGTACCAATCGGCGCCGATGAATGTGCCCGTGCTTTCGGATGCGATGAGAAGGAACAGAGCCATTCGCGAATTCGACGACATTGATGATGATGACAACGAAGGGGACTTTGAGATGCTACCGCCTCACGAGATGGTCGCATCGAAGCACTCTCCAATGGTTTCTTGTTCTGTTCTTGAAGGCGTGGGAAGGACACTGAAGGGGAGAGATCTGCGTCAGGTTCGGAATGCTGTGTGGCGAAAGACAGGTTTTCTTGATTGATGATGAATTTAATTCGAATTATCTCTTTTTGGAAAAACTGTTCTTTTGTCAGTGAATTTGTAACTGTTTTGCTTTTTAGGGCAAATTGAATATATTCTGATCAGAATGCAGCTATTTTGCTTAATCTGCGATGTGATATTGAAATGATACAAAGAACTCCATAATGCTTTCATTAAATGGGATGATGACAGAATTGTTAAAAAATTCCGATAATGAGAGTAGTCTAGGGCTAAGTCACACAATCATTATAAATGGGTGCCCGCTCTTACTCCCACTCTGTATGACCTAGATTTTGCCCCTTAGGTCTAGGGGTGAAATAGCTCTACAATCTCTATCTTGTTAGCAGTAAGCTGCTTTTTTTTAATAGATTTTGGGTTTTAGGACTGAAATAGCTCTACAAATCTCACTAATTGGGGGTATGCTTTGCGAATTTGTCTTACAAGAATGGGTTTCCACTTCTGTTCGGATCTTTTTCTTTAGACTGAAATTCTTTCCTGCTGATGAAAAAGAAAATGCAAATCACTTTTTGCTTGCCATGGGCCAAGTAAAAAAGAAAACATTTTGAGAAGTTAGATAATATCTTATTTGTGAATATAATGCTAGGACTTCAACAACTGTTTGTTATTTGTTGGCTTGCCATTTAAGCCTAATAATACTTGAATTAAAATAAAATATGTCAAAGATACGATGAACTAATAATAGTGGTAGGTAAGGAGCTATTTGTTGGCTTGCCATTTAAGCCTAATAATACTTGAATTAAAATAAAATATGTCAAAGATACGATGAACTAATAATAGTGGTATCAGGTGGATATCATGAAAAATTACTCACGTGAATAACCTAGGTGAATTCTCTTGAGCAATTGTAACATATTTACTCACGTGAATAACCTAGGTGAGTTCTCTTGACTAATTGTAAGGTATTCCGAGCTGGTGCAAGTTCACGGTAACAATTATTATTATGCAAATACATGGTGTAATGAACACATGTATTTGAAATTTGGAACCATTAAATTTGGTTTTTGTCAAACATTACAATAATGTAGTGATATATGGTTCCAACCTCACAACCCGTCAATTTTCATAAATAAAAAAAAACCTCGCAACCCATCAATATGAGGGTTTTATGGTCATTACAAGTGTTTGCACCTTCTGTATGGGATAATAAAAGGGTGGAAAAGATATAAACCTAATTGTTGACATTGAACACATGTATTTGAAATTTGGAACCATTAAATTTGGTTTTTGTCAAACATTACAATAATGTAGTGATATATGGTTCCAACCTCACAACCCGTCAATTTTCATAAATAAAAAAAAAACCACGCAACCCATCAATATGAGGGTTTTATGGTCATTACAAGTGTTTGCACCTTCTGTATGGGATAATAAAAGGGTGGAAAAGATATAAACCTAATTGTTGACATTGTTTTGTGTAAACTGAATCAACTGATCACTTTTAAACTCGGACATGTGCCCTAATGTTTTTATGCAGAAGGTTTTCCCCATTGTAGAATGAAATGACACCTTTATATGGGTTTTTAATGGTTTTTAAGAATTTTGTTGAATTTTTAAATGTGATTATGTGGAAGTAGATCAGTAAACTATTCTAACTTCTAACTGTCACTGCTTCATGAGAGAAATATGTTTAAACACCAACTGTTATTAAAGCTCAGTGCAGTTGTAAAAGCTTTGTCCAGGAAGTATGAACACAAGTTCTAGGCTGAGGACAACCACTTGTTAGCTCTACAATTCGAATTCCTCTTTTTGGAAAAACTTGATCATTTGTCATTAACTTTGTGTGAAATTGTAACTGTTTTGCTTTTTAGGGCAAATTGAGTATATTCTGATCAGAATGCTGCTATTTTGTTTAATCTCCGTTGTGATATTGAATGATATAGAGAACTCCATAATGCTATCACTAATTGGGATCATGACAGTATTGATAAATATGAGAGTAGTCACTACAATTCTCTATCTTGTCAGCAGTAAGCTGCTTATTTTTATACTTTTTGGGTTTTAGGAGTGAAATAGCCCTACAATTCTCATTAATTGAGGGGTATGCTTTGCGAATTTGTCTTTCGAGAATGGGTTTCTGCTTCTGTTCCTATCTTTTTCTTTGGACTCTGAAATTCTTTCTTGCTGATCAAAAAGAAAATGCATATCACTATTTGCTTGCCATGGGCCAAGTACAAAGAAAACTTTCTGAGAAGCTAGATAGTATCTTATTTGTGAATATAATGCGAATTTGTTATTTATTTATTTTTTGATAAGTAAAGAAATGCGAATTTGTTATCACTGATTGTCGGGAACTATTTGTTTGTTTGCAATTTAAGCCTAAACTTAAGTTTTAATGTTTTGTTGGCATTGGAAAACATACTTGAATTAGAATTAAGTATGTCAAAGATATGATGAACCAATAATAGTAGTTATCCAGTAGAAGTCATGAAAAATTATTCATGTGAATACCTAGGTGAGTTCCTTTTGAATACCCATATAGATGGTGCAAGTTCACGGTAACAATTACTATTACGCTGATACATGGTGTAATGGACACATCTATAGAAAATTTGGAATCGTTAAACTTTCTTTTTGTCAAACAATGAAACACAACAATAATGTAGAGATAGAAGTCATGAAAAATTATTCATGTGAATACCTAGGTGAGTTCCTTTTGAATACCCATATAGATGGTGCAAGTTCACGGTAACAATTACTATTACGCTGATACATGGTGTAATGGACACATCTATAGAAAATTTGGAATCGGTAAACTTTCTTTTTGTCAAACAATGAAACACAACAATAATGTAGAGATACTTGGTTTTAACCCCCAACCTATCAATCTGAGGGTTTTATGGTCATTACAAGTGTTTGTCCCATCTATATGGGTATTGGATAATAAAAGGGGTGGACAAGATATAAACCAAATATTTGACATTGTTTTGTACAAAGTGATCACTTTTAATTTTAATCCAAAAACAAGTGATCGCTTTCCCATTGCCTCTATGTGGTGTCTAAGCTCTCTCCTTCAAACGGTTGATCTGCTGTTTTGATTGAGGATATCAGTCTATTTTTGTCTTCAAATCCATTGCTCTCTCTGTCTTGGACTCCCCGTCAATGCAATGTTGTGGCCCATCTGTTGAGCAAATGGGCGACGCGAGTGAAATATAGTGACCTTCAATGGTCGGTGTGGCCTTCGTGGTTACTTCAAGCCTTGAAGGTTGATTGTTCTTTCTCCTGTGCATGCTCTGTTCCTGCTCCATTTTAGTTCTGATTCCGTTTAGTTGGGGATAAAAAATGAAGAAGTTTTTCCCATGCAGGATGAAATGACACATTTATGTGGGTTTTTAATGATTTTAATTTATTTTGTTGAATTTTTAAATGTGATTATGTGAAAGTAGCTATTAGTAATCTGTTCTAATTTTTAACTTTCACTGCTTTTTATGAGAGAAATATGTTTTAACACCTACTGTCATTAAAGCTCAGTGCAGCTGTAAAATCTTTGTCCAGGAAGTATGAACATGAGTTCTAGTGTGTGGACAACCACTTTTTGCAGATGATGCCAGGTATGAAATCTTTATTCAGGGTATCCCTTGCACCTCCATTTGATAAATGGGGATTACATTGGTGATGGCATATAAGGAAAATATCAAAATTAAAGCATTTTCAAATGACATTATCTGAATGTTTCATAAGTACAAAATGAAATAAAGGATAGAGATCTAGATAGTTTGGAAATTGATTTATCAATGGAACTTGTAATCTAAATTCAAACAAGATATCTAGGTTAGAGTTGATAATTTCAATCTATGTAATCTTTGGAACTTATCATTCAAATGGAATACCCACGTGCTTTGATTAAGATGTAATAGTAATCGGAGATTTGATCAATAGTTATATAGTGTTTCCTTAGCACCTTAATCTCGAAAGCTTAAAATAAATTTTTTATATTTTTTTATAGAATTATAGCTGCTATGTGGTGGTCGCTATGGTGATTGCTGCTATGCCTATATTTTTTACATGACCTGTATACTAGTTGCCAATTTTTGTGACTAACAAATGTGTTTCTTATACATGTTCAGACAATCACTCACAATATGTTTAGCCTAGTTTGCAGTGCTGAGAAATTGCATGAAAGTGTTTAAATTTTTTTTAGCTCTATCACTGTTTCTTTAGTGACGCATAGTTGCAGTATTGTCACTTGTGTTTTTCTCTCATCATATCTTTTACTGGAAAAGGAAATTATTCTATTGTAAACATAAACACCCCTTAACCCCGAATAAAAAGACTTCTCTTACCTTTGATAGGAGAAGACAAAATCATATGAGGCTTAAGCTAACAGAAGCAAGCATTAGTAAGCATGACTAACTCTTAACTTATTATGGATGATAATTAAGATGAATTGATATATATTAATGAAGCTCAGAATTGAGTTATTTACATTGACAAATTGACATGTTGGTTGGCCATGGAAAATAACAGAGAATTGTACTAGAAACGTGCAGCTATAGAGAATAAAAACAAGAAAAGAAAAGAAAAAATAATGAGAAAAGAATAAGTTCTTGCAAGTAGTATAACCTATCGTTAATACGTGACTATATAACCTATATAATGCCCTAGTAAGTCCTGCAACATTCTTTACATATTCGTACTTTTGGGGGAGATCTTCCTGTTAGGCATGGGTGTTCAGTTTCACATTCTGCTCTCCTTAAGAAGGAGTGATCTCTGTATTTCTGCCTAAACTGGCTAGGAAATTCACAGCTTTTTATTTGTGAAAATTTCAACAAGATTTTGTTTCATGTGTTTCCACTAGAACTTCTGAAACTCCGGTCTTAACTTGATTTTGGTGGTCTTAGTGCTTTAATTTTGTTTTATGTTCTCTCTCATATCTCTCTGCGGTTCTCTTCAATTTTGCTAGTCGGTTCTGTTTTTTAGTAAACATACCAACGTTTTGTTAGGCGGTTCTCTTCTATTTGGTTAGAAAACATACCAACCACT